TTTAGTCCTGGGACTAAACGTCAGGCTGCCTGACGTTTAGACACTCCGTATTAAATAAGCCTTATTATTGCACTGGTTCGCACTGGAGTTAAGAGGCGGTCGGAGAGGCAGTAATGGGTTTGTCCTCTGCCCCTATGAACACTTCCCTAGCTACAATAGCTTCGATCAGATCCGCCCTGTACATTCACCAGAAGCGGCATTAAGCAATTAATTGTTATACATCTCTCTTCTTCACTTACAGGTCGGGCATTACTTTGGACTTTTTCACGTCTTTGAAGTAAGTTCCAAGTATAGCCGCCTAACAATTACTGGTGTATAATCATGTTAAGCCTTGCGAATCGAGGGGTAGGAACAGGTGTATTAAATAACCTATAGTCAAGCAAATACAGAAAAGTAGACTATATCCCTATATTTTTTAGTGTATTTTCCACGTTAAATATCGAAATATCACGCATCTCATTAGTAATGCGTGAGTGAACATCATTTTCATTTTCACAACGAACGGATCACCACAGCTTAAATCCAAAAAACTGACGTTATGATTTCATTTACAAACACTATAAAGGATGTGATGTACAGATTGCGATGTTCTTATCCACTAAATCGGTATTCCACGTCTTTTCGTCTTTATTCAAAGCTATTTAACAACGATTTACCACTGTGAATGGTTAAATACAATGAATATGCTAATTATTCTTTCTATTCGACGGTTCACCATCGTACATCTCGCAATAAATATACACCTATTTCAAAAAACGTTGTCGTCACCACGACACAGTCCACAGTCTTGAGCCTGCAAAGAATCTCGGGGTTTCCATGCGTAATTWATATATTCAAAATATTTTGTGGTTTGAATTCAATGGCGGAAAACACTACTAATATACTATTGCGGCTCATCGAACAAGTCTCGCCATGAGACATTTTCCTTGAAATGAATATTCCACGTTTTTAAAACGTCAATGAGTTTCAAAGCTATATTCGCTATTTTAAAACGTCAATGAGTTTCAAAGCTATATTCGCTATGAGACCGAGAATAATCCAGTTTCGTATTCTTCAATGCTCTGTGTTAGCCTAATTTGTTCGCAAAATATTCCTAATTGTGAGAATAAAAGTGTGAGATTTCAAACCAATTGTATTGTCTCTCTTTTCAAATTCCATGAGTTTTCTCGGGCTATCAATGAAACAAAAGAATATGTTGATTGATTTTGGAGCTAACACAGAGCAAACCAGAACTCTAAATCGGAGTATTTCGAATAACTGAAATTGAACACATAATATATGGCAATCCCGAGATTMYTTGCAGRCTCAAGACTGTGGACTGATTCCTGGCGACGACAACGTTTTTTGAAATAGGTGTAGAAGTCGAAGCGCAAGTTGCGCAGTCCCTTATAGTCAATTAGATCAGTGACATGCTCATAAGTTTGTTTTGTCTATGAATATAGACTTTCTTTATTCTTATAGAGGTATTAAAAATGATTCTAAAACTCATGAATTATTCATTAGACATTCTTCCAATGAGCATTCAACTGTGGGTCACATGACAGGATCTATAACTCAAGTTATAAACACTGATTAATTAAACATGAGTTTTATAACTAACCGGTTCAGTTAGTTATAACACTCATGCATAAAACATCAGTGTTGTAACTGATTTACAGACACTCGATGTATGCCCAACACTAGAAAAGTTCTCAGTTTTAGACTCTTATCATAGAACTTCACTAGGCCTCGAGTTACAATTACTTATTTGCAGAGTCACAGTACACTAAAACATAGTGGCGCTTGGATGTGGGAAACCAAGTTGATTAATGCTCATGCTCAGATGGAGATATCTTCATCAATTATTTATTTTTGATATTTTTTTATTTATTTCATGTTTATTGTAGTTTCTTAGGTTTGGGTTTTAGAAGTCATTTAAAAAACTCGTAGTTCGTGTTTTATCGTGGATATAAACACTCGGCCTTCGGCCTTCGGCCTCGTGTTTATATCTCACGATAAAACACTCCTACTCGTTTTTTAAATATCACTTAAAGATTTAAGTAATAGATAACTTTTTCCGTGTTTACATAGCCTGATGTAAACACGAGGGTAGGTTGGGAGAATTCGAGACRGTTATGCAAACCCGAGACGAAGTCGGGGTTTGCATAACCATCGAGAATTCTCCGAACACTGCCCGAGCCATCAGGCCATGTAAACACAGGGAAAAAGTTATCTATTGCTTTTATAAGATAACTCTTATTTTCTAAAATATGTCTTTAAAAACCTTAGAATTCAAGTATAATTTTTATGATCAAAAC